ATGTAAAACAAAGTAGGGACTTGTTATCCTTCGAGTCAGGTCTTCAAAAAGGAACGAGCCTCAAATGAATCGTAGGAGATGATTATCTCTTTCCTCATGTCTTGAATATTACTTTCTTTTCTACTCTTGGTTCTTACTGAGGCACAACCTTTGAAGAACTCTTTATCTCTCTATTAGACTGTGTCTATAAAAAATGTGCGACCTCCTCTTCAATTGAGAAGTAATAACTTTTATAGTGCTGAATTATAGTTATTCAAGGGATAACAATGCATTTCCCATCTTTTGATCTTCACCCTTTATCTTCATCTTGAGTTTATCTAACCAATTGGATCACAGATTCTGCTGGGTGTGATCTTTATCTTCATAACGCAGTTTACCTTCTTGTGTTTATCTTTGGTTTACCTCTTGTGCTTATCTTTTCATGCTTTTGAGTTCTCTGCTACGTTATCCTCACAAATGCAATCGCTGACACTTCTTAACCTTCGAACCCCATGGTCTCAAAAAAGCAGAATCAAAGATTCATCAATATCGTCAATGTTGGTGTTAGTGGGTTGTAGCCACCTACATTGTTCAACTCAATCCATGCTAAACTACGGTTACCTATGGAGATGGTGGTCTTAGAAGAACCAACTATAAGAAGAAGACTGGTGTTAGAACCACTCTTAAGCTTATGACTGGTAGAGCATTTACCAGTAGTACAGTGAGCATGAAGAGAGGTGGTCTTAGGACCACTCATGCAGTTGACATCAATGGACTTGCCTTTGATGTCAATAGATAGGAAATGAAGGGTTTGAGTACCCTTTCCCACGTTTCCCTTAGCTTGAGCTAGAGTGATAGGTCCAGAGTGACCACTCAAGAAATACATGGGAGCAGCGGATTGAAAACTCTCACTTACCATGGGTGAATTCGAAAATGTGGGGATGATGAAATCCTCAATTTGGATGAAAGAGGACTCCATAGTAGTTTTTAAGAAAGAAAGAGATGAAGTGTATGTTTGAGAGCAGTCTGTGCTAACTATAGGGTGGCTTTTCCCCAGTGGAGTCACCAGTTGGTCGGGGCCTGGGTCGGATCGGTTGCGTCTGAGCCCCTCTCGAACAACCGCGTGGCCTCACGAGGGTCGCTCACGCGTCTCGTGGTGTTACTTTGTGCAGATAAGTGGGTCCAACTTGTGAGAGGATTTTAAAGAACGATGAAGAGATGAACTAGAGCACCTACCTCACCGCTATTGGGGTCATGGGAAAAGCCCGAGCAAAACACCCTCTTAGATCAATTCACGAAAGCCCTTCGGCTATCCAGCAGCGCGGTTTGGATGCGAAGCCCTCTCAAACGTCAACACTTCATCTCTGTTTTTTCTTAGAATCTGCTTACTGGAATTCAAATGTAAGTACTTCTCTTTAGTAGGTTTTGTGAGTGAGTAGTCATATATGGCCTAGAAATGGGAGAGAAGAAAGTCTTCTCGGGGCTTGGAACACTATATGACCAGATGGTCGAGATAGCAAGAGAATCAAAATTATGAAGAAAACGAACTCTAGACGACAACAACTTGAGTCAAACAGGAGCTAGAGAAGCAATGTCTCTTACAACCTCGATTCACTATATGAGAAGGTAGTTAGAGTAGAAAATCCAAAATTTTGACTCTAAAATACTGTCTTATGAACTTCCAAGTTCAAATGTTTTAAGCGACGAGAAGTACATTCAATAAAATAAAGAGGTGAATGCGGGTGGCTAAATGCAAGTAGCGATACACAGAGTTGAGTGCAGGTGAAGGTCTACTGTAGAGAGTGCGAGTATGAGTGTGTATAGAGCACAGATACAAGTGCACAATAGGGCGCAGGTAGAAGTGTGCGTAGAGCAAATGTAGAGGTGGGCGAAGAGAGCGTGGGTAGGAATGTGTGTAAAGCACGTGTACAAGTGCACATCAAGGTGTGGGTAGAATTGTGTGTAGAAGTGCACATCAAGGTGTGGGTAGAATTGTGTGTAGAAGTGCACATCAAGGTACAGGTGCACGAACAGAGCGCAGGTCGAAATGTGCGTAGAGCACGGGTACAAGTGCGCAGAAGGGCATGAGTAGGAACGTGCGTAGAGCACAAGTACTAGTGCGCAGCAGAGTGTGGGTGAACGAGGGCACATTAGAGTGCGGGTAGATGAGTGCACATAGAGCGCGACTAGATTAGTGTGCATAGAGCACGGGTAGATGAGTGTGTAGAGCGTGGGTAACAAAACACGCAGCAGAGTGTGGGTACATGCAGAGAAGGAGCTAGGCCTGACCTAGGCGTGCGTCGGTGACCTCAGGCAAGAAAGAATGAGAGAGGGGAGAAGAGAAGAAAGAAAGAAAGGGAAGAGAGAGAGTGGACCTATGGTATATGTGTGCCTAAGTACCCCTTCATGGGTCTTCTTGAATGCATGTGAGAGAGAGGGCTAGGGTTTAGGTGTAGGGTGGTCTATGGTGTAGGAAATGGATTAGGGTGGAGTAGGGAAAGGGCTGTGGTGTAGGGTGGTCTAGGGGTATTTCTCTCTCTAACAAATGTTTCTCTCTCCTCCCCCTTTAGTCTTGAACTTATTAGCAAAGCAAAGAGAATAAACAAAAATTCACTCCAAAATGCTCACATATTGTTATGATCAAGAGTTCAAAGACTAATATTTGAAGACCCTATTACAAGTGACATCGGTTTCCTTATATAGAGCAACCAATAAACATGGGTGGAATGCTCAAAATTACCCTAAATTGTAAAAAAATACACAATTACTGAATTAAAATAATCATCCCGTATTTGGACCAAATGAAAAAAATACTCCTTAGTATTTTTCAGCAAATGACAGAACCATCCCTCCATGAGAGGCCTCTTGCCATGACTTGTCTTCGGGAGCTTTTTTGGACACCTATGATGGTAATTTGGGTGAACAATCGTCGTAGCATTGATGTTTGAACTTTTATGAATGTTTTGATACCCTTTAATCGTCTTGCAATGGATTTTACAAGTAACCAAAATCCGGCCAAATATATAAACTTTAAAATTCTTTAATCATCAATGTTGCTTGATTTGTGATGTTCCAAGTCTACATTTTTGTCACAAATTGGAGAGAACGCTTTCACAATTATTTTACAGTAATTTTCGTCCGTTTTCGTCTGGAATTGAGCTTTGTCCAAATTCGAGAGGTTGTCGAAAAATGGGTTTTCGACAATCAGAAAAACGTGCCTTGTGTCAACCTTAAAATTTGCATCATCGGGCTTTAGATTACACATAAAGCTTGTACCAAATTGTAGCTCTTCGACGTACGGTCACAACAGACTCATATTTGCGATGATTCGTCACTGAAATCTTGAGTTATGACCTTTCAAAGAATTGGATGTTTTCTCATGAATATCCATGTTTTTTAGCATATCTTCTTTCTAGAAATTCTCTCAATTCAGGTCACCTCAAGATGTGTGCTTTATATCAAAAAGATTGGGTTGTCAAGATCTAGCTTGTGTCCAAATTTGAGCTTAATCGGACTGAAAACGAGCAATAAATGATCATTTACAAATCATCCCGAAATGAGAAGACATGGTTTCTATAAATAGAACTGGTTCGCTGAGGCTGCACCGCAATGGGGTACAACCTACCACTTTATGATAAGTTAGGCCCATAATGGTCCGGAGGGTCTGATTGAGCCTAAATTTGGTATCTAGGGGTTTTTCAACGTTTTGGATTCAATGGCTGTGGTCTGGTACTGTTTGAGACTCAAAAAATCAGGCTGTAGTTATAGGGTCGCCTTTCAGCATGATTGGAGTTGGTTTTGAAAACCAAGTTTCGTTCAGATCATATCCAAACTTATCAGAATGTGACGAAACTTTTGCGAGTGTCCTTCGAGTATCCCAAACTACCCTTTTCATGCATTTTGAAGCCGTTCCCATACTTCTTTAGAGGTTGCCCCAGTTTTAGGCTTATTTTTGCAGTGTTCCCATGGTCTGGCAATATCTTGGGTACCGGTAGGACCAGGTTGCTATTGACTCTCTCTTTATTTATTTCAAAGATACAAGTACATAAAAAATGACGTATAACAAATATATTTATTATATTAGATAAATATTATAGATAATATAATAAATAACAATATAAATATTATATAAATATTATATAAATATCTTATATCATATTATATATTATATATAATATATAATGCATACTAGATTTATATAATCAATATTATTATATTATATATAATCTATAAATATCATATATTATATATGATATATATTATTATATTATAAATAATATAAATAAATATTAAATAATATAATAAATAATAATATAAATATTATATACATAATATACAAAATATATTAATAAAGAGTAAGGATCCTATAGGACCCTCTCCCACCCATGTGTGTAGGAACTCAAGGATCACCGTTAAATTTGGTATAGATCTCTAGAAAAGTTATCACATAGGTGTGGGACTTGATTTTTTTAGAGATATGTGCCAAATTTAATAGTGATCCTTTGAGGTCCTACACACATGAGTGGGAGAGAGTCTTATAGAATCATTACTCATTAATAAAATATATTATATTATGTTATATATTTATATTTATATAGTTAATATGTATATGTTATCAAACACAATACTTAGAACGTTCTTAACATTCCAGCAAGTTATCAAACATAGTACCCAAAACTTATTTAAGTCTTTTAGAGCAAAACATTCAATTTTTCTAGAAAATATCTTTCAAAAAACCAAACGCGTCCCTAGTGAACTTTTGTAGTGCATTTTGATTGTTTAGACCCTCACTTTTATATAAACTTTTTTCATATCTAAGTATTAGAAGACTCAAAATCTAATTTTTTTATTTTTATGTTAGAGATAATCGTCCGTATGTTATTAGGTTGTTCCCAAAATTTGAGATCGGAAATAACATCCCAAGGGAGTCCTTTCACGAGGGACTAAATACATCGGATGTTCCTGAGGTAGGTAGCCTATTATATGCACGCCCAAAATATATCACGGAACGGGTGAAAAAGTTCGTTTCAAATCTACTCCTGCATTTCACTGATACCCAAAACAGGGCAGGGCAGGGCAGGGCAGGGCCGGGCCGGGCCATGCCATTCGACAATAGAAGTAGTAGTGGACGTTGCGGCAAATCCCTCTTGCCATTCTCATCCTTGAAAGCCAACCTCCTCCTATTTTCTACCTCTCTCTGCCTCCTCCTCATCTTCCTCTTTCACCCATGGCTACACTGCTTCATGAACACCAACCATCCACCACCCTTCACCTCTCCCCACCACATCGTATTTGGCATCGCCTCCTCCTTCAAAACCTGGCCGCCCCGCAGTTCGTATGTGCGCCTGTGGTGGAAGAACACTATGCGTGGATATGCATGGCTGGACCGCCTGCCTCCTCAAAGCGAAACCCTAACTTCTTCTCCTCTTCCCCAGCTGAAGTTATCAGAAGACACTTCTGCATTTTCGTACACGTATAAGGGTGGCCTGAGGTCTGCAATACGTGTGTCGCGTATCGTAACGGAGAGTTTTAGGCTGGGGCTTGATGATGTGAGGTGGTTCGTAATGGGAGATGATGATACGGTGTTTTGTGTGGAGAATTTGGTTAGGGTTTTGAGGAAATATGATCATCGGGGTTTGTATTATGTGGGTGCCAATTCTGAGAGCGTTGAGCAGAATGACATGTATGCATTTGGAATGGCGTTTGGGGGTGGGGGTTTTGCGATCAGTTATGGGCTGGCTAGGGTTTTAGCAAGGGTCATGGATTCGTGTTTGAGGAGGTATCCTCATGTTTATGGGAGCGACGCTAGGATTTATGCTTGCGTTTCGGAGCTTGGAGTTGGGTTGACAGCAGAGGCTGGATTCCATCAGGTTAATTTTAATTTTCCCTTTTTGTTTCCCCCTTTTGTGCTGTCTGGATTCTATCAGGTTAGTTTTAATTTTCCCTTTTTGTTTTCCCCTTTTGTGCCGTCTGGTTTTTGGGGTTGGTTCTTTTCATATTTGTTCTAGTTGGAGTGAATAATGTTGTGATTTTCTTGGTTGTTGTCGTTTGAAATATGAATTGTGGTCATCTGGAGTGAAAATTTTATGTTTTAATTGCATTTTCAGGAGAATTTATTATTTTCCCCTGTTTTAGTTGTACCTATTTCAAGTTAAAAGTTTCGTTCGTGATGGATCATGCTTCATGCCCTTTACCTCTTGAAAGATGGCATAACTTAGTGGGATTCACATTTGCCTAACCTCACGATTTGATCTTTATGATATGCACGGCAACACTGGTTAGCATCCAACTTAAGGTTCGTTTCATTTCATTCAATCTGTTAAGCTCCATTGTTGCTTGTCTTTTGTTTTTCTCTTTTGTTAAGCTCCATTGTTGGATGCAGTGTGAGGCACTAGGGGTCCCTGTGTGCTTCAATCCAGCGGCTTTGCAGGCACATGGCTTCCTACACTGCTGATAAGTATATGAAAATTCAAAAAATTTGAAATTCATAAGAAATAGAAGATTTCTTTGCCTTCGCAAGGCAATATGAAAGAGAGTAGTATGGCTTCACTGTCTGTTTCTTTTTCTTCCCTTTTAGAAAACCCAAGGTAGTATGAGAGAGATGGGTTGTGTGGGCTTTAGAGAAGAGAGGATAGGATTTGAACTTTGATAAGAGAGAAGCTGGTTAGAGTCAGATAAGTCTTAAGAGAGAGTAGTGGTGGGAGGAGTGGATACACAGACACTGGCCGATTTACTACTCAATGGAGTTGAGTGTGTACGGCTTGAGTGAAATCCCAGACCGAATTTGGCATGGAAGTTTTCTGTGGGGCTTGGAATACTTCTAATAATCATTCCAGAGTACAGAACTTCAGATGGTGCATTACCAAGAATTGTTCTGCTCCCCCTAACAGAAACTATTCTCCTTTGTTTAATCCATTTGAAAGTTTGCGTCTTTGGGGTTGGGGAATGAGTTCTTACTATCTGAACTCTGAAAGATGACTAAAAAGTTTCATCTGCTAGGCTAAACGGGTTAGGAGTATATCATCATGCAACAAACAACATTATCTCCATATAAAAAGAACAAACTATTGAAAAATGACGATGGTATCATTGTTATACCGAAAAGCTTATGGCTTCACTTCTTAGAAAATAAGCAAAATTCTAGGACCGTGTGGGGGTGCTCCAATTCCATCTCATGTCTACTAGAAACATAGCAGTCTTGGATCTTGAGAAAGGGTTGAAAATAAATATAAAATAATTAAAAAAGCTTTATGTCAAGGGTAAAAAATATCCTAGGACAGAAAATAAATGGAAATGTTGAAAGAAAATAGAAAAATCTGCAGAGACTTATCCTACTCTATTCTTCTCTCTGCAAGATAGGTCTACTACCATGTGTGAAATAAAAGATACGAGTAGGTGATTTATACACTTTCTCCTCTCTAGGATGGAATAGATTTGGGGAGTCCTATCGAAAATTTTATCCTACTCTCTAGGGCAGAAAAGATATGGAGAGATCTACCTTGAAATTTCTTCCACTTAGTATTGATATGAGAAAGATTTGACGAGAATCACATAAATAGCTAACTTACCAAAATTCCTGACATTTCTCTCACTTTTCATCAAAATGAATTATATCCATACTAGTTTAATCATTATGTGGAACTTTTTTCTTTATCTTCTATCCTAAGAAAATGAATTCATTTACCCTATACGGTGCTTTAAACTCCTCTATTTAAAGGCCACCTACCCTATACCCTCTCAGAGGATAGGTTCCCCTAATCCCTTTAATTCTTGCATCACATGTACACCCCTTAACTCTTGTTAATATAGTATATATAAAAAGAGTAGCATGAATATGTGACAGTAGGGATTTTAATTTATTATTTCTTTCTAATATATTAGTGATTTAAGTTGTGGATATAGTAACTAGGACACTTTTAGTCACATTCTCTAGTATAATTAGCATTAAAATAAAACAATCCCTTCATCAAATTCAATAGAAAACTAAAGAATATATCTTATACCAAGCATTTTAGAAAGTAAGCGTAGCATGATACTATTAAAAGAAATTAGAAGGTAGCAACTCCTGCATATAGCCAAATACTAAGTGCTTGGCAAGTTCAACAAAAACAAAAAGTTCAAGAACAAAAACAAAAAGTTCAAGACCAGAACGCAGTGATGCAAAAGACAAAAAGATCATTATAATCTGTCCTTAGTTACTAACTGCAGCTACATAGTGCATTATGTGGCTGTATAGGAGCAGCATAGGCCTTGGTTGTAATTGTGCATCCAAAGATCCTTTTAATGTGAGCACTAACTCTCAAGTTGCTAATAAAATTTGAGTTTTTCTTCAAAAATGAATTACAAAATTGAATTACAAAATTTACACAAATGCAATGAATTACAAAATTGACACAAATATATGTATATTATATATACATATATATAGAGATAGAACTTGTACTTTAGGGTGCCCAAGGTTCTGGGTGCTCGCCTAGGCATTGGGCGCCAAGCCGGCCTAGGGGCTGCCTAGCATTTTTTGAAACCTTGAGATGTGGTCGAACCACCTCATGGACAAAATTACTCACCGGTTCCTCCTTTCTCACAAGTTGCAAACAGATTTCTTCATTTCATCTGTCACTAAAGAAAGAAAATTGGCACCCTCCCTGTGTTTAGGATTAGGTCCAATCTCCCTTGATAGGGCTAGAATAATTTTCATGTTATCCTTCCAAAACGTACAAATGTACAAAAATTCGCCCCCTCAAATCCATAGGTGGCCTATTTCTCAAACTGCTTAGGTGTGGGGGTTCCATGCAGACTTGTTTAAGGCCTAGCCCACCTAAGAGGCTTCTAGGCGTCCGTGTAGGCAGGTCTTGGCACGAGCGTGGTACCACCTCCTTAATTTTTTTCTGTTTATTTAGTGAGGGAAAATTAAGTCTATGGGGAGAGATTTTTTATTGTTTTGTACTTTTATTTATTTATTTTAGAAAGAAAAAAGTATCCTTTTTCAAGAAAAGTATCTTTTCTTTAAATTTTTTCATGAACAAAGTAAATTAATTGGCATAGTTCTTTAAAAAGTAAACTATTCTTTTTCTTTTATTTAGTAAAGTACCTTTCATTAATTTTAGAAGAGATAAAGGGTACGGCTCTGAAAAAAGCACACGTGGCACATTTACACAATAACACATGCACATAGCCATGATATTAATATTACTTTCTTGTACAACTGCATATTGTCTGATATTAATATTATTATTTTTATACAAATTGAAACCATAAAAGAATGCCCCCCCTCACCCCTCTCCCCCCCAAAAAAAAAAAAAAAAAAAAAATGGGCTCTCATGTATCTGGGCGTCCACCTAGGTGGTTTGGGCCCCTGACCGCTCGCCTCCGCCTTCTTGAACATTATGCCCGTCATGTATGGACTGTCTATCATACTGCCAAGGCCTCCCCAACAAGATTGGCACACATCTATTGTCACCACAACACACCACACATTATCATTATAGCACTGGCCAATGGAAAAAGAAACTAGGCAATGTTTAGATATTGTTACCTCATTGCCTTTTGATCTAGGACAATTTGTAGGGATGTTGATGGTCTTTCACACTTAAATGCAGCTTTGTCATAGTCTCCTTTGACAAACATTTGCGCAACTGCCACTATCAATTACCATGGTACAAACTCTTCCTCCAATTGTGCATGAGCTGTGAAATATAGTGGTTCGCAGCCAATCTTCTTGTGTGTCGTCTTTTCGTGCCAAGAAGCTCCTTCTGGCCACTGATGCTTCAGCCGATATCTCCATGAATAACAACGACCTCTTCATCACCATAATGATAAAAAACATGATCAACACTTGCCTCTATATCAATTGAGGAATCCTCTTTGATCAATAGTTGTTTTCCCTGTCGGCTAGAGTTCTTCCTATAATCATTTGACCTTGTGGCCTTGCCTCTCTGCACTAGAAACCCTATTGCCGAACCACCACCCTGATTTCTCAAGTTCTGATCCTGACCAATAGCATGCTCATAGTTACTCGAATCTCTCATCGAAGGTCGCGATTCCAATTCGGAAACCCAATTTGGTGGTTCCGACTAGGAATCTTCATGAAACTCATTTATGTGAAGTCTAGAATCTCGATTCTTTATTTTAGGAATCTCGATTCCAACACTTAAAGAATCTCATTTTCAATATTTACTGATTTTTATTCCACAATTGGTGAATCTCAATTCTACACTTATTGAAACTGTTTTCCACATTTACCGGAATTCTTCCACATCGCCCGTTTAAAAGTTTTCAAGGTATCAAACCACTCGAGCTAGATACTCAATTCAGGCTATAAGGTATGGTCATCTTTTATGGCATGAAATGACAAATAGAAACCAAAGTGGTGGTGCACGTTTCCTACTTAATTCTTTTAAGTATGTATTATATTGATCCCATGGAGGGATTGCAACTCCAATATGTTAAAAATAATGTAAACGTGCATGAATGGTATGCCGGTCAATGAATGGCATGTCGGTCAATGAATAGCATTGATACATGTATTTTGTTCCTCTTTGTTACTTCACAATTTCAAAAATATCATAATCTCGATTCCATAAATGAAAGAATCTCAATTATATATTGGTTGATTACAACTACGGAAACTCAATTCCAAAGATCTAGGAATCTTGATTCCATCTATGTAAGTATCTCGATGGTATTTTGGTCAAATCTTGATTCTTGAAAATAGGAATCTCATCCTTCATAATTCCTCTTGTATGGATGTCAATTATGATAATAGGAATCTTCTAGGCCAATTTCGCTCTTGCGATTCCTTAGTGGATTCGGTTTCCAGATTGCCTCGGGTTACTATGAGCACGCCCCATTAGTGGGGCTGAGCCACTTCTTTAGACTCCAGATTGTTGTTGCCGGACTTCCCTAACCTACTCTTGCACATGTCCAATCCTTAGCCCCTACTGTTGGCATATTTCTAGATTTGAACTAACCTCGGTTTTGTTGTTTCTCTAGCACCAAGGCACGTTGATATGTCTTTGAAATGGTCCAGAAGGTGTGGAGATTCGACACATCCCGAAGAGGCTGCGTACATAGTTTTACAAAGCGGATTGCCCAACGCCTAGGCGGTCCAGAAGGCCTGGATGCATCGCCCAGGCCTAGGCGGCCAAACTAGGCAGATATCCTTGGGCGCCGCCTAGGCGCCTGAGAACCCGCCTGAACCCGCCTAGGCAGCCGCTTGGCCACCTCCACCGGGCGGTCGCACATGGCCTGCGCCCCGCTCAAGGGCGGAGATGCGGCTCCTTGAGGGTATTTTTGGGTCATTTTTTTAATACTAAAAGGGAAAAATTGTGTGTTTTAGGTTCATTTATAACCTAAAACCCATTAGAGGCTATTTTAGAGAGAGAAAACCCAAAAAAAAAAAATTCTATTAGGCCGCCCATGTTTTGGGCAGCTTGGCCCCCCCGACCACCTAGGTGCCGCTTAGCGCTTTTTGAAACATTGGCTGCTTGATCTCCAATATGTCGCATCACAAGTTGCTCATTGTCCTCAGAGAGCTCGTTCAGTGAAACCAATTGATATAACTCGTTTGTATAGTCATCCATTGACCTACTTCTTTACCGAAGATTATTTAAACGCTGATACAAAGTTTTTAAGTAATTGAAAGGCAGAAAAGCCTCTCTCATCTTACGCCTTGTCTCCTCCCAATTTGTGATGTGTAGGCCTCACCTTCAATTGCTCTCACCAGGCTGAAGCTCTTAGCTTAAAGGCGACTAAAGGTACTTTCTTTGTTTCATGAACCTCCTTAAACTCCGATGTCCGCTACCATGCATCCATCCATTCAATGAATGGCGATGATTAGATTAGATGGATGGCTAGGATTAAGTCTTGTTTAGGGTTTTCTTATACAAGGAATGGCCTAAGAATAATGAAGAATCTTGTTATGGACTTTATTCAAAATATTGGAGCAGCTAGTACTCTTTCTTTTATATCTAGTTTTTGCATCTTTCTCTAAATTTGGATCTTCCCTATCTTCTTCTTTGCTAAACCCTAGCACCAAGCTACTAGCGTCAGGTTGGTATCAAATGCCGACGACCAGTATGGATGTTCTATAGAACTGTAAGGATAGTACGTTAGCGATGTAAGGACGGTGTTGTAGCATTAAAAGGGCGGAACAGTACATGCGATTTTTGTGCACCAGATCAAACAACCATGCCTCCACATAGGAAGAGGAAAAGCAGCAACAGTAGAAGCCTTTGATGCTAGTTTGTGAGAAGGGATAGTAGATTTGAGGAGATTGGTCGAAACCCTAGCTCTACATTTGGTACAAATGGAAGTGCCATCCCATGAGAACGAGATCGAGGCAGATGAGGAATCCATAAATCCCTTTCATGATCAAGCTCCAAGGAGAGTGGTAGCTGATCGTACAAATAGGTAGAGTAGGACGTGGGAAACCGGACTCAAAATTGAGAACATGGAGTTCTATGAAGGTTTAACGGCTGAGGAATTCATATATTCAACTAAATTATTGTACTGCTATCAATGACTCAAACTCTTGAAATTTGTCCAAGAAAACTAAACAAGCTTAGCTACCCCTGTTGTATTCTTCTAATATTTGATAATAGACGGTTCGAGACCATTAAAGGACTATTTAAATCTCTTGACAAACTATTAAATAAACCAGTTCTGGAGTACCAACGTTTTTATAGCACTGAAATTCCCTGGAAACCAATTGAACTCGAGTTTTCTGATACTTAGGTTTCTGATTGTGCCATCTCTGATTTTGGGATTTGGTTCTAGCAAAAAGGAAAAGCTGTGGGATTTAGATATCATAATTAATAAATACTTGGATTTTGTCTTTTTGCTGGCTTGGTTGGCCCAGAGGTTCTGTGGTAATCCTTGTGTTAAAAAGCTTTTGCAGCTTGCGTTTTTTAAGTCAGTATGGCAGTTGATAGGGACACTAAAACACGGATAAGACTCAATCTATGTTTTTTAGAGACTCACTTTAAGTAGATTTGGGGTTCAGTAAGTTGGCTTATCTCAGAACTTGTCCGAGTCCTGAGCTGAGTCTGAGTTAGTTTTAGGACATTTATGGTGACTTTCATAAAGGATATTTCGGCATGCAGATTTTGGACACATTATGGTATTCGTATGTATCTTTATTCCACTTTTGTAAATGGCCATAACCATGGTGTTTTATTGGTACAATGTGCTCCTCACTATTGTTATTATTAATTGTGTTTGGTGCATGATTAGGCAATGAGCTGTAAAACATATTTTCATATTTTCATACATTTCATCTGAGTCAACCTTGCTGAATTGACTGCAAATAACCAATTCTTTAATGCCATGGCTGCTTTTCTGAGTAGTGTAACCATTCCATGAAATGCTTCAATTCTCTTGTTACATATAATATTTTCAAACCAAAAAGGATTATATCATTTTTTCTCATCTAAATGGCTGCAAGAAACCACAAACCCAAACTGCAGGGCATCCTACCTCTTTAGTTTTTCCAATCATCAGACTAGCAGCCAGTGCATTAATAGGGTTGATTTTCTAACAAAACGCAAAAAGATGAATAAAAAACCGAACTAGCAATGATAAACAGTTGAACCAAGATTATTGCTTTTACTAAATGCTTTTGTCCTTAGTGGCTGCTTTGGTGATTTCTGAAATGTTTGGACTGGTATACTCAGAGATATAGTTGGATGTGACTTCATTAATTTAATATTCAGTTAATTAAATATTCTTTATAAGCTGTACTGATATAATCTTACTTAAATTAATCCGGATAGAAACTGCATCTATTTTTGATTTGTTTGCAAGCGCCCAGGGCCCAATTAATAGGTAGTCAGTAATTCCTGGCAATTGTTATTCTTCTACAAAAATAATTGTGACTAGTTGGCTTCCACTGATTTTCATCCATATGTTGCACTTCTTCATATGCAGATTTTGAAATTAAAAGTGGCAAGCTTCCTTGCTTTCGCCAGCTTCTATTGTTAATATTAGTGCTGAGTCTTTCTTGTATCTGATCTCTAGGTTGATATCCGGGGCAATGTATTTGGATTTTTATCTTCACATCCACTTGAGCCTCTCGTATCTCTTCATCATGTTGATACTGTGGAACCAATATTTCCCAACATGACCAGAATCCAGGCTTTGGAACGTTTATATAAAGCCATAGGGTTTGATCCAAGCAGGGTTCTCCAACGAACTGTGTGCTATGACAAATCAAAAGCATGGACTATTTCAGTTTCGTGGGGTTATTCAGTCCAGGTGTTTGACGGTATTGTACTTTTTCCTGATCTCTTACCTTTACAGCGGACATTTATGCCATGGAGAAGAGGCCGAACAAATGGATCAGCTCCATATATGTTCAATACTCAGGAATTTCCTAGAGATCCATGTAAAAGGCCAGCCACTTTTTTCCTGGACAAGGTCAACACTTATTCAGACAAAATCATTAGCAAATACAGCAGGCATATGATGGTAAATTGTAATTTCCGTAGGAATTCAGCAAGGAATCTGGGGCAGATCATTGTGCATTCCGAGAAGCAAGATTCAGACCTTAATCAGGTATTTGAGCTTTTTGGTTTGATATGGAGCTTAATAATATTTTTGCTCTATTTGGCCAGTAGAGATAGTTTGCGCCATTAAGAAATTTTACCATTGCAGATGCGGAGAAGGGACTGTTGTGGTGTGCTACCCTCATCTTATGACAATGTTATGGAAATTGGAATAAAAAAATGCGGACCTGAAGAGATGATTTCTGCATAGCCGGTTGTCCTTCAAAGGAAGAAATCAAGAAACATCTTCTCTGACTTCTGCTGGAAATGCCATACTAGCTTATCAATGCTATACTCAAGTCACATATCAATCAGAGCTCTAATTAAGTGTGATAACGAGCTGGGTACCTCTGCATCTCAAAAATATTTTCCCTGTTTTTCTATACTTTTAGTTTTCATTGTTTGTATTGCTATTGTATTTGTAATAATTCTTGAAACTCTAGTCCAACTAGATGTAATTCTTTTTCCATTCTAATTCCTAGATTGTTTTATCTTTCTATCATGCCCTTGCCCTTTTTGCATCTCTTTATTGAAACTGCACATGATTCAATTCTGCACTGGTGTGTGGAGGAAACTAACCGTAAGTATGTAAGTAAAATTACATATTTATATCAAAATATCTTTTTGAAAAATGTAGTTCTCTGATTTTATGGATTTGATGTATTTCAAATCGCTTCGAGCATCACAGTACTGTGGAAGTGCTTTATTTGATGGTTCCAGATCTTTCCTTGAAGTACGTCTCATGCTTTTTTTTTTTCCTTCTTCACATTGATGTACCTCTCATACTTTGCTTGTGTGAATCATGCAACTTATCAGATACAGTACGTTCATGTATCTTGTTCTCCTTTCAGCATATTAAGTTTAGAAGCGTCTTAGGCAGTCTATCTGAAGAGATCTCCAGTGAATCAGATTTGAGTTCCAAGGTTTTTGAAGATTGTGCTATTTCATTCATTGCTTTTGACAAAATTGGGTTTGAGCTCATAATTGTAAAGGTTTGGTAAGGACTTCCTATGTCGACTGGGTTACAACTCCCCCACATTTATACCGTGGAATAATTATCTTCCCAGATCCTAATTCTATGTTGGAGATGGAGCCTTCTATCAAGGTGGAAAAAGCAAGGGCCAGGAACCGTTATGAAGGTGTACGTAAAGTGAGGTTTGCATCATGTGGCTGGCTTGGGTGACTTGGTTGGACTAGTTGATAGGCAAGGATCGTTGATGTTAGTGGCATAGTTGGCCAAAGGGATTGGTTTCTTCACTTTCTTTTTTTGGGTAAATGAATGAGGAGATGGGCCCTATCGATCTTAACTAAACAAGGCAATGGTGTTTGAGTCCCCTGACTCAAATGTAGATATGCGTGCCCTTTATGATCCATGGTTTGAATCCGTACCAATGGGTGAAGCCAAACCCCTTCAAAAACTGGATATGACGATCTCATACATGACCAACGATAGCAGCCCTCCCACTATTTCCTAAAGAAGCTCCACTAACATTTAATTTAAGGAAATCAGAGGTTGGAACCGAGGATTGTACATGGAATACTATGGGGGATTGCAACTAATTAAACTTTTAAGGCTGTTGATCAAATGTCGTTCATAGCGGTGAAACCTCCATTACTTTTTGTCAGCCAACTGCCCTACAAAAGAATTTATCTTCCAAATGATACTCTCTTTAGTAGGAAAACAGCCTTCATGTATTTGTTTGTTTCTTTCCATTCAAAGAAACAAAGCAGTCATTTTAACGAAATTCATATAGGAAAAAGTTTATATAGAGCCAAGGCTCTAAAGAATCAAATTCGAGCTTACCTTAGAAATTTCACTCAAAGAGGTTGTTTTGATGCTCAAATATCTTCAAATTGATCCTCCGGGCATCAAGATGCATACACATGAAAAAAAAAATGGATTTCAAGTTTTGGAAATAGTGTATGTTGTAACGCATTTTTGGATTATTAATTTTCAAGATTATATAGATTTGTTCGATTTACACAATTTTTTAAGCCTTAAATTTTATAATTAAAAATGAAATTATATTTTAAATTTATCACAATAAAACTGCATTTCTCGACACTTTTTGAATGTGGGCTCTAATTTGATTGTTTAGAGCCTCGGCTCTATACAAACCGCACCCCTTCATATATCATGCTCGACATTAAAATATCTCCCACACATCGAACTTAAGGATCTCCATAGTGATATCGAAAACTTGTTGGAAAGAGCTAGGTGGTGGGTAGATTCCTCATTATCATAGCGGAAAGGGTAACGAGACGCTCAGGGAATTCCCCGAGATTGCGGCAATTTGGAAGTCGGCAACTGAATATGAAGAGTCAGCAAGGAAAACCATTTAATCCTCGGATGGACACTTGCCTTCCATGGCTTTTTAAAACGAGTTCTGTTAGGCCCGCAATGTCCAATCAATTCCCAAGCCCTTTTAACTGAAAAAGCACCCTCCTGATCAAGAATCCAGAGTAATCTGTCCTCCATAGGCTCAGCAGTTAAATGGAATGCAAGGATGGAATTAGATGCTTGAATAAGGTCCCCAGAAGTAGTAGGAATAAAGGCAGCCACTTCAACATCCAAATCAACACCAACCTACCTGTGTTAATCCTGATCATATATATCTCAAATTTTACCACCAGTTGTTAGGCTAAAAGTTCACCTTCTGCCCATTACCAATAATCATCATCGTCATAGCTTTTTTCTAGTTAATAGGGATTGGCTACACAAATCTTGGTCTGCCATTCTGTTTAATTAAAGGCTATACCTCAGTGACGCCGTAAGTTCCCATAGCTTTTCGGACTATTTTCAACTACATCCTCTTTGAGCTACCCTTTGCCCTTTTCAGTCCTTCCACTGGAATGAACTCGCACTTTTTAATAGGTGTTGTACTTGGTCAGCACCATATATGGCCAATCCCACTTAAGTTTACTCTCTCTCTCTCTTCTTATCGCCTATTGGTGCCATACCTAAATTCTATCGATGTATTCATTTAGAATTCTATCCCTTCTTGTCTTGCTGTACATCCATCTCAACATCTTCATCTCTGCTACACTCATTCTATGAGTATATTGGTTTTTGTCCGCCCAACATTTTGCCCTATAGAGCAACATTGGTTTCACAACTGTCTTATAGAACTTGCCTTTTAGCTTCAGTGGTATGTGGTGAACACAAAAAATTCCAGTTACACATCTGCATTTCACCCACCCAGCTCTAACTCTGTGCGCGACATCTTTAATCCCTCTATTTTCCTAGATTATCAACCTAAGATATCGAAAGTACGATCCTTTTTGCACTTCATGGTTGTCAATTTTAATTACTTCCTCGTCTCTACTCCAATTATTACTAAACTTGCATTCTGTATGTTGTCTTAGTTTGGCTATTTTTAAACCTTTGGATCCCTCCAAAGTTCTAGGTTTGTGTTGACGCCATTTCGGGTCTCATCGATCAAAACTATGTCATCTACAAACAACATATACCAAGGTAACTCATCCTGTAAGTGCCTAGTTAAGTCTTCCACATCTAAGACAAAGAGGTACGAGCTCAATGCTGACTCTTGATGTATACCTATTGTTATTGAAAACTCACTCGTCTCTCCACTAGATGTTTGTACACTAGTTAGCGCTCTATCATACATAAATCTCACAAAGTCGATGTAGTGTTTTGGGACTCCTTTATTTTCCAACACCCACCAAATCAAATCTCGAGGTTCTCTCTAGATCAATAAAGACCATGTGGAGGTCTTTTCCCTTCGTTCTAAACTTATCAATCAGTTGCCTAAATAGGAAATAGCTTTAGTTGTTGACCTTCCTGGTATAAAACCAAATTGGTTTTCAGATACACTTGTTTCGTGTCTCAGTCGTTGCTCAATCACTCTCTCCCAGAGCTTCATAGTAATCGGTATGTCTCTTTTGTTCTTGTAAATATGTATCACAATACTTTTCCTCCATTCGTTTGACATTTTTTTTGTTTGCAACACCTTGTCGAACAACTTCGTCAGCTAGTCAATGTCTATCTCCCTCATGCATTTTCAAATCTCTATCGAGATACTACTTGGTCCAAAAGCCTTTCCTATCTTCATTGTTTCAAAGCTTCTTTCACTTTCGATATCCTAATCTTACGAATGTATCTATGACCTCCATCCTCATTTATACCAACAGTTCCTTCTACCATTGTGTTCGTCATTTACTAATATTTAAAAATAAACTCTCTATCTTTCGTTGATTTCATCATTCTTCACCAAGACCATTTGATAATCACTCTTAATGCATTTAATGTGGTTTAAATCCCTATACTTTTTTTTTCTTATTTTTGCTAATTTAAATATCTCTTTTTTTACATTCTCTTGTTCCCAGTTTATTGTATAGATTATCATATACTTTAAGTTTAACTTTATTTACTGTTTGTTTAGCTTTTTTCTTAACATTTTTATATTATTCTCAGTTTTGATCATTTCTATTACATTGCTATGTTTATAATATGATCATTTTTTACTAATGGTCTTCTGAACCTCATAATTTTTTTCCATCTAGATTCTATTAAAACTTCTTTTGCCACTTTCTTGATACAATCAACCATTACATTGACATCATATTCAGAGTTCCATTTTCCTTCTTCAACTAATTTATAAGTCTATTTTTTTATTTTTTAAATTTCACCTCGTAGTTCTTGGACACCCATTACTTTTATTCCCTCTCTTCCACGTCTTTATACAGATATCCATAACTACAAGCTCATGTTGGATAGCCAAACTCTCTCTTGGGATAATCTTGTAGTTTTTACATGATGATCAATTTACATTCTTAACTAGGGAGATGTTTATTTGGCTTTTATATGACCCACTTTTATAGGTTATCAAATGTTCATCTTGCTTTTTAAAGGAAGTGTTTACCATTACTAGGTCATAGGCCATAGTAAAATCTAGAATAGTCTCACCCATCTCATTTCTTTTCCCAAACCGATATATCTCATGTACCCTTTCATATCATCTACTATCTTTCTCTACAATACCATTTAGTCCCGTCCTAAAAATATCCTCTTTCCATTTTGAGAGTTAAATCCCCTCCTAAAAATATCCTCTTTCCATTTTGGGAGAGTTTGACTACTCAACGACCATCTAAACACATTATATATCAAATTCAGACCCATCATGATATCCCTCAAGGCATCTAAACACATTCTATATCTAATTCAGACTCATCATGATATCCCTCCGGACATGGAAAACTTTCCTCTACCCGATAGGACCATAATCCGAATCAATGCATAAATAATCCTGAAATCAAAACATTAGGATTAGATACTATTCTCCACGCCATATTCATTAATCCAGCTTTTTTAAATTCAAGGAGGCTACGTACACTAGAGCTACCCTCTTCCAAGTTTTAAATCAATAGCATCCCAAATCACCAAATGAAGACCTCGAGCATCTGCATTACAAGCCCATAAGAAATTATGTCATAACCTCTCAATAGATTGGCGCACCTTTGAATACCAAAGATAAGA